GAGAAGGAAAATAGAGTAGTTTAGTAGTAGTTTGGTAGCCGTAGTTGTGGTGGTGGTTGCTGTAGGAGTAGTAGTAGTAGTAGTAGTAGTAGTAGTAGTAGTAGTAGTAGTAGTGGTAGTAGTAGTAGTAGCAGTAGCAGTAGTAATAGCGCTGCTCTTCTCCTCCACGGTATGGTTGCCATTGATGGGAACCCCGGATGAATATTCCCATCCTATAAACAAGGGGGTGTTCCCCACCAAAAGTGATGATTCCCTACTGCCCTCTACTTCTACACTGGGGTGGATTTCAGTCTTCGGACCCCAAAACTGTGAATGTCCCTCTGGCGTTCCTTTAAACGAACCCTGAAACATGTACTTTTTTGCTTCACACACGGCGTCACGTGCAGTTTCTTGCTGGTCATGATTGGGGGAGAACTGGAAGCCTCCTTTCCGGTGCACCAACTCAAAAAGCACTCGACTAGTGATTTGGACTCCCTAAAGCTGGTGCCCCTGCAGCTCAATTCCAGAGTGGGTTGGCCACAGCAAGAGAGGCCCCAACTTTCCATTTGCAAACTGAACGGCTCTTCCCAAACCAGCACCGCCCGAGTGGTGCCAAATTGGCGTGACTTACAGTAACACAAACAATGTCACTTTTTGGCTAAGTGATGCTTTGCTGAATTTTCGCAATTTCCCGTAAAATCGGACAGATCTACGAGGGCAGGGGCGGGGCAAAAAGGCAGTGTGACCAAAGTCAGCACGCTGTGCGCCAACACCAGCACAAAACCTGCTAATGACCCTTGCAGCAAACAGCCATGCAAATCTCCATCGCTCGTCACGAGCATGTCACTTGCAGGTCGTTTGCTCGGCCTGCGCGTCGCTTGCGCGTCGCCTCGCGTCGCTTGCGTTTTGCTCCGTGTCACTGGGGTGTCGCTTGCGTGTCGCCTGCGCGTCGCCCCGTGTCGCTTGCATGTCGCCCGGTGTCGCTTGCGTGTCGCTTGCGTGTCGCTTGCGTGTCGCCTGCGTGTCACCTGCGTGTCGCTTGCGTGTCGCCCTGTGTCACGCAGAGTAAAAGTGCTGCTTTGGGGCCCCAAGGCATGAAATTTAAGCCCCAAAGCATCACTTCGGCTGCGAAAGCGTGTCGCTTGCGTGTCGCTTGCGTGTCGCCTGCGTGTCGCCTGCGTGTCGCCTGCGTGTCGCTTGCGTGTCGCTTGCGTGTCGCTTGCGTGTCGCTTGCGTGTCGCCCCACATGTCACGTGCGTCTCGGCCAGCGTCGCGCGCGCGCACCCCCTGCGTCGTGCTCGCTTCGCCTCGTGTCGCTTGCGTGTTGCCCTGTGTTGCCTGCGTATTGCCCCGTGTCGCCCCGCGTTGTCCCATGCTGCTTTCCACTCAATATTTTCAGAAGCCTTTGCTAGTTTTTCTTTGTCCAGATTCAGGCTCACAGTGGTGCGGACAGTTCTTTTGGCCGCTGAGCTTGGAAAACGCTTAGCAGACTCACCTGCCATGAATGGACTGAGAATGGTCTCCAAACTGGTGGTTGGTAGACCTGAAGTGCTGCCGATTGCATTTTTTCACAAGTGCCTTCAAATTGGCGGCACTTTCACAAAATTGAGAACAACGGTCGTTGGGTGGTCCTGGAAAGTGGCTCTCAAGTCCATGAACAACCCGAGGAGTGAGGGGTAAAAAACCTGGCCAGGTGGCTTCCACCCCCGCGCCCCTGCCCAGCGGTTTTCGACGAGGCGCTCCCAGGGCTGCCAGAGCAGCGCGAAGCGCTGCACTGGGACCTGGTGCTTCAGGAGCTGGAGCTTCAGCCGGTGGCAGCCTGGGCACCGGATCCGCTTGTTCTTCAGTTGGGAGATGTGTTCGTTTCTGTGTTTTGTTTGTTTTTGTCTTTTGTTTTCCCCGGGGTTGGGGGGGGATTTCTGCTTTGTTTTTGGAGCCCTCTTTTGTTTGGTTTCCAGGGAAGGTAAAGGCAGGATTTTACCAGGGCTCTTCAGATGCCATGCTCGTCAAAGGGGTACCTGTTTGGGACGAGTCTGCTTCCAATGTCCTGTTTGCCACTCAGAAAGACCTCCACAAACATGAAGAGTCCCTTGACAACTTGACGAGCCGACACATTTGTCAAGCTACCTGGGAATGGAGGGGTGCACGTCAAATCCAGTGGGCGCACTCTCCACTCTTGTTTCACCAATTGCGCACGAGGATTCCTCGAGAACAACTCAAATGTCAACAACAAGGAGCTTCAACCAAGCGTAAGCTGGAAGGCAATGCCTGGAGGCCAAATGCAGGCGAGTCGCAATCATCCGACCTAATTACCGTCCACTGTTGAGTTCAAGCGCCGCATGCAAACCCCATGAAGCGAGGGCCCTTGTGCAGCACGGAGAGCATTGCTTGAAATTGCTTGGCCTCTTCCTCCTGTTGCCTTCTACCCATCCAAGTGTTCGCCCAGGCAAAGAACAAAGCGCCCTTCTGGGTGGCCCAACTGGCTGCAGGTACAAAACTGGCAAAAGGGAAAAGAATGCCGTTGAACAACCCAATCGCCATTCGAGGAAATGTACATTTCTTGGCAATGATTTTGAAAATAATTCCCGTGCCTGCCTGATGTCCTTTCTGGGCGAGACCCAGCAGAAGTCTGTGCCCGCATAGTGCCGCCTCGCCAGATTGCAGTGTGTATTTCCCCCGAAGGCTACGGCGCTTGGACAAAACATGTTTCTGCTGCAAATAAATTTAAACTATATAACTAGAAAGTCGAGATAAATTAATTATGGGAAAACGAGCCGCTATGGCAACGACAATTGCCGTACAATGAGCATCAGAGTCTGTGCTTTAGCTGGCCGGTTGTCAAAGGTCGCAGACCCAGTTTCAGACATCCATGACGAACTCAGCCCCAAGCGTACCGAAGTATACATCAGCATACCGACGAGGAATGATGGCAAAAGTATCCTCAGCTGTGCATGAGCCGTCCAGTTTGCCAGACATACAAGCCCAGCCGAGGGTGGGGAGGGATGCCACACATCCAAAGCACACAAACCAGCAGCCACGCAACCCGCAAGGAAGGCATGATACGGAGATGCTTGCAGCGGGTACAAGCTCGCCTGCCCCAAGTGCAAAAGAAAGCCAAGCTGCCCTTTAATTATCAACACACATGAAGACTGCCTTTGGTTGTGCTACTGCCCTAACCTGCAGGGTGGCTCGGCTTCACGTGCTCAAATGTCACACAGACATAATACGTGCCTTTCGCACCACACGGTACCGCATCTGCGCGACCCATGCCAACAGGAGACGAGGTGTCCGTGGCATCAGCTGCCCCCAAATCCGATGGGGAGATAAATGTAGACATGCCCCAAGATCCAAGCTGGAACATTGCAACTATGGCCAAGACTTTGAGTGACAAAGCTTTAAACCTCTGCTTCTCCAATAATTCTGTTTGGAGACACCGAAAGAAACTGAGGACTAGCCTGGAGCCCAAAGGCCTCCAAATTGACCTACAAATCAACCTTGCCCAAAAATGGGATCCTTCAACGAACTTCGGGAGAATCTGACCGATCCGTTGTGCGATTTGGAAAGACTCAGGAGCAGCAACAAATTGCCAGCTTGGCACCCCCACGTGGGCATCCGTCCAGCTGCCCACTGGCAAGTGCACACGCTCAGGGTCGAAGGTGCGAATGTCACCCAAAGCAATGCCTGAGCCGCGCTCTCACCGCAAAGTCGAAAATGAAAACAACGAAGCACCTGTCCAAGTGGATCTTAGGCACATCCCCTTTGAGTGCAAGAACCCTGGCAGCTTTAAAATAGAACTACCCCCGTTTTCCTGCGTCGGCCAAATCCTGTGTTCCTGCAGGTTCAAGGCAACCACAGTCACATTGGGATTGACATGTTCTTGTTGCTGACAAATTGGTATATCTTCAAAACCTTCCACACGCTGCTCCCAACTTTGTGTCTGCCAAAGTCAGTTGAGGAAGGCTCCTTCGACACTCAGCCAAACAACATGATATCAACCAAGAAAATGCCAAATGATACTGAACAACACAGAACGCTAGCATGAATTCGCACCCGTTTGCATCTGTGTTCCCTGCATGTGAAGCAGCAGGGGTGGCGTCAGACTTTGCTTGCCGCAGAGTAAGCGACTGGATGTAAGCGTTTGAACCCTTGGCCGACATCATACCACGGGGCCTTCTAGGACGGGCTGAGCGCCCGACAGCATACTACTCCTGACAGCTAAATGTTCAGTGCAAGGCCCCGTCAGTCTGCATCGCCGGTGGCGCTTGGTTTCCCTCCCAAAAAACTGTTCCCTTTGGAAAGCCAAGGCTCTGAAGATCATGTCTGTGCGCAATCGCACCACCCAGTCCACTGGCGCTCCACGTTGCAGCCTCGAAAAAAAGGCCCGCATGCCGGGAGAAAAGCAACAAGGCCCCTTGATGACGGAGGTTACTCTGAACCTTTCCTTCAAGAAAAGAGGAGCTGGCGTGGGCTACGCTCCATGGTCTGACATGTTCCACCAGCGGTTGAGCATCCGGGTCTTTGAACCCATGGGGCTACACGGGAGCGGCCCACTCTCTTCCCGCGCAGGGAAGACACGCGGCGGGCAACAAATTGAACGTGCGACTGGGCATTCAAGAGGGGATTCCTGGGAAGACCGTGCTCTTACTTCCGGCCTCAAGGAACTCCTCCCTGCCAATCCGGAAAAAATCCGAGCTGTTTCAACCCAAAAGTTAAAGTCCAAAGATCTGTTGCCAAAAAGTCATAACATATACAGCAGGGCTCCGGGCTCCGAATCCCATCCTGAAATGAGAAACGCCTTCCGAGGAGCTCAAAGCTCAGCAGCTGCTCTTGGCACAGCTCCAGGCGCCGCCACTGGGCATTGCATGCCATGGGGTACTTGGCGTGGCAGCGGCGGCCCGGCGGATGTCCTGACGGCAGGATTCGGTGGAGCCAAAGCTGGTTTCCACCTCCAAACCCTCTCACAAAGTCGGGGCTCCAAGGGCTGAAGTGGGTGGGTGGGTGGGTGGGTGGGTGGGTGGGTGGGTGGGTGGGTGGGTGGGTGGGTGGGTGGGTGGGTGGGTGGGTGGGTGGGTGGGTGGGTGGGTGGGTGGGTGGGTGGGGGGGGGGGTGGGGGGGTGGGTGGGGTCTTGCATGGCCCCCGGTGAAGGGCTCCCTCAAGGGATGCCACCTATACAGGCTTATGAATCAACTAACCCGCTGGGTGCCAGCCTTGGCCCTTTCCTGTTGATTCACGATTTCCTGGTTGAAAAGAGGAGTATGCTTTTTCATGCGGGAATCCTGCACTTTTAGGAGCAATTCCCATTAATTGTTCCAGGATGCACAACTTGTTTTGATTCGATCAACCTGCAGGGGTGTATTTTGTCTTTTCGGCATGACAGTAAGAGTTGCCTCCAAAAAATATACGTAGCCCTATTTGGGGTTTCTGAAGTAAGTTCCTTCCGTTTTGGAACTGGGTAAACCTCTCTGGGCGACATCAACCATCCCTGGGATTTTATTACTAGACTTGGTGAGCAATTAGTCCTTCCACCTGCACAGGCACGTTCACGACCACATCCTCGGTCGAGTCTGGCAGCCAACATCTCTGGCAGCCAAACTTTGAAGGAGCAAACATGCACTTGGCATTTTGCGCAAGCATGACTCCGGCAAGCCCGGTGCCACTGTAGCGCACTCACAGTGAATGATGTTGCATCCTCAGGTCCCTTTTACAGGATTCTCGACGCGTCCAATCTGCCACCCGTCTTTCTTGGGTGGTTCACTTGGGGTGCCAGAGTAGGTGCCTGATGCCACCAACCATTGTGTGAAATCCTTTTGGAGTCCTCCCTGGATTTGTGACCTGCCACCTGCCAGAGCGTGTGCATGATGTCATTCACCATGCAAAACACCTGACCTAAGCGCTGTAAAAAAACAACAACATCATCGGAAGCGAACGCAGAACCTTGTTTAGGACTTTCTCTTTCGCTGTTCAATAGGACATCAAGCTTGAAAAGGTAGAGGTCCCTAAGTCGGGAACCCTGCGGGACCCCTTCTTCCCAACCCAAAACCCACTTTTCGATCGCCCAAAAGTTGGGGGGCCCGAGACGGAGCCCTCTGAACCAAGCCTCGGGCGCCACAGCTTCCAGCGCCGGCGCCATCTCCGCCCAGCTGCGCCAGGGGTTCTGGCTCTGCTCCTGGCGGTCCAAAGGACCTTTTTCAGAGGAACAAGCGGAGCAGTCGGAGCCTGGCAGCCGAGAAACCAGCGGAAGTCTTGGGGATGCGCATGAGCACTCAACGTTCAAGGCATGTCTCTTCCGAATTCCCTGCTTTCTCTTGGCCATGTTCTGACATTTTCCGTTGACGGTTCTTTTTCCCAAGAATTCGTTTTGGCCATGTCCATTTTGCCGGACCCATGCCACTTCACCAGAGTAACGGTACATTCTCAGTAGCTGGCATGATTCCCTTGCATGTCGATAAGGGGATGGCACATGATGGCACCCAAGCCAAACATTTTCTGCCGCCCACCCAACTGCAAAGAAACGGGCCATGGGACCCTAAGGCAACCAACATGAACCAAACGAAGGTGGTCGCTGGTTCAGCTGCATCCCCCCCCCCGGTCCCGTGGCCCCAAGCGCCTCTTGCGGCGTGTGGCGCCCGAACTCGGTCACCAGCACCGTGCGCTGCTCTGAGAAGCCCAGCGCGTCGATGACCTCGGTGCGTTCCCATGCGGTCGAAATCCCATGGCCGTGGTCAAAAGAGAGGTCGAATGCACATGGCTGCGATTGAACTTCGACTCTGGAGGTTCCCTCTCAGACAGCTTTTCCCAGAGTCAAAAAACGTTGTTTTTTAATTGGTTGCCGGGGGCCTCAAAATCGAAACTCTTTCCCGGAGTTTCTGGATGTCTTGAGATGTCCTGATTCCCCTTCGCGCTCAGGCGCATTCTTCCGGAGACTTTGATGCACCACCTCCTCCCCGAAGCTCCGCAGGTGGCCCACGATGCACAGCAACCCGCTGGTCTTCGAAGTGCGGTCCACCGCCTTCGAAGGTCGCCCCCCACCCCCCCCCCCGGCTGCAGTGGGCCACCCCACCTCTTCGGGGAGGGGGGGAGGGGGGAGGGAACACTTTCCCCACCCCCTCAAAGAAACAATACAGAGACTGTTTTGCCAAAAGGGGCAATCCCACAAAAAGAAACAAAGGGCCCCGGTCAAGTCCCTTTTGCCGTGGCCCACGGCGAAAGGGAACAAGAGCACTTCTAAAGCAAGCCGCCGACAGGGCTCTGCTCTGCCTGGATGCCAATCTTTGATTTTGGAGCGCGCAAGGCAGCCATGAGCACACATGACCACGTGCAAACGCTCATGGCCAATGTAAAAACACGGTTGCGTTGCCCAACGATATCTACATCATCTTGCACCGTTCCTGGCCCAAGTTTGTCTTGACAGCCATGAGCATAGGAGACTTGGCCCGTTATCGGGGTGCCTGCTCCAGCTCCCGCATCGCCCGGTCGTAGATCTGCTCCTGTGCGGGCTCTGGCTGGTGTCGTTCTCATATCATGAGCTGCGCCTTAAAACAAAGATGTACGATTTGTTGCATTCTGTTTGGCCACCATTGCCTACCAACACACCATGCAAATGGGCATTGTAGAGCAAAGTGGAGCTCACTTAGCCAGCACATGGTGGCATAGGTGCTCTCAAACCTAGTGAGCCCTCCACTTGTACCAAGCAGATTCCCACAAGCCCACAAGGCGTGGAATTGCACGAGCGCAATTCGGCAAGACTACTGTGGCACAGAAAGCATGATGTCCATATCTGATGTTTGGCCAGTCCAAGTGACGGGGTGGTTTGAGATTCCGTCAAATGGCTGGACATGCTGATCTCGGTCCGGTCTTCTCAAACAATGGCTGCTCACGGTTGTCGTGTTTTGAACAGTGACCCCCTTTTTGGGCAGTCCAAATCAACCTGCGCAAAAACAAACAAACACGCCTGCACAAGCAAGCAAGCAAGCAAGGACGCAAGCAAGCAAGCAAGCAAGCAAGCAAGCAAGCTGGCAAGCTGGCAAGCAAGCAAGCAAGCAAGCAAGCAGGCAAGCAAGCAAGCAGGCAAGCAAGAAAGCAAGCAAGCAGGCAGGCAAGCAAGAAAGCAAGCAAGCAAGCAGGCAAGCAAGCAGGCAAGCAAGGAAGCAAGCAAGCAAGCAAGCAGGCAGGCAGGCAAGCAAGCAAGCAAGCAAGCAGGAAGGCAGGCAGGCAAGCAAGCAGGCAAGCAAGCAAGCAGGCAAGCAAGCAAGCAGGCAAGCAAGGAAGCAGGCAATCAAGCAAGCAAGCAAGCAAGAAGCAAGCAAGGAGGCAGGCAAGCAAGCAAGCAAACAAGGAAGCAAGCAAGCAGGCAAGCAAGCAAGCAAGCAAGCAGGCAAGCAGGCAGGCAAGCAAGCAAGGAAGCAAGGAAGCAAGCAAGCAAGCAAGCAAGCAAGGCAGGCAAGCAGGCAGGCAAGCAGGCAAGCAAGCGAGGAAGGAAGCAAGCAAGCAAGCAAGCAGGCAGGCAGGCAGGCAAGCAAGCAAGCAAGCAAGCAACAAAAACAACACGACAAGCAAAAGCAACTGCACGTTCGAAGAAAATCAATGGGCAAGTCGTGCCTTGTGCAGCGTGCCCTGCACCAGGGTGGGCCGGCCGGGTGGCCGCGTCGATCTCGCCAGAAGCTCCGCGCGGTGAAAGACCTGAGTCACTGAGGCGTTCAGCGGAATTGGGGGGGTGGGGATCCAGCACGTTTCTGGTCTTCCCCGAGGGAACATGAAACCATGAACGGAATTCGAGGGGTCATTCCATGGTAGTAGGCCCGTCTCGTTTTAAGGCTAGCCAGATTTTGCTCGGTGTTTTAAGGGGCCCCCTCAAAAGGACAGATCGAAAGAGATAATTTTCAGGTGGGCTTCCGTTTGAACTCCTGCAATGGCAGGCAAAGAAGGTGCCCTGAGAAAAGGCACCTGCAATATGCAGCGCATATTCTACATCCCCCCCCATCCAAACTTGCCAACTAGGGACTGCCTTGGCCAGGAAGCGGCCTGAAGGATTCGCATGCGGGCCCTCTGAAACGCTGGGAAAGCTCAAACACAAAGTCTCATCTACCGGGCAGTTGAGGCCCGCCCTGCCCACCTTGCATTCTTGAATCTGATCAGGTTTTCTCCAGATTCTGGAAATGTCCTACAGTTCAACTGTTCCCACAAAGTTTCCTTAAACAAAAAAAACAAGGGCCCGAGCTTCGTGGTGATTCACCTTGTCAGGGCCATCGTTGTGCTTGTAGACCCACAGCAAAGGTGCCAGCAGCCACTTCACCGCCCACTCCTTGCCACAAGTGCCAGTCCAGCCAGCCACTTCAAACATAAAACCGCCCATTGTCGGTCCCATGCGAAATGGGTCTGGAGTTTGCTGGGTAAGTCCAAGGACCTGCCCAGCTCTTAAATTCGAGAGGGTAAAGCGGTCTGATTGTGAGAACTAACTTTGTTATGACTGAACAGGTTTAAGCCACCTTGGCCCCCACAAGGTCCGATTTCTCTTGCTGATCGCTTCCTGCGTAAGTGAGAGGGTCTGGAAAATCATCAAGTACCCACCACTTGTCATTTCCTTTATGAGCCATGGGCTTGTCTCCAAACAGAGGACACCAACACTGGTAGTTGCCTTGTGTTCCCTTGGCACAACTCCAGAAAAGGCACCCTCAAAAAGCCAACGCTCAAATCGTTCATCAGTTCGGGCTACGTGGCTGCCGGCTTGGCACAAGATCGAACCTTCGGCTGAAACGAAGAACGCCCAAGCGCCTTGCACCGGCCCTTGGGGATGCATAGCCCAAACCTGGCCTCAGACGAAACAAAACGCTGCAGGCTGAAGCCGACCACGCGGGAAAACCTGGTGGAAACCAGCAAAAGGGGGGATCTATAGATTGAACACTAGTGGAAAAAGCAGGGTTTAGGCAAGTTTTCTGCCAATGCCCCTTTCAGATTTGCGAATGCTTGCTATTTGTTTTGATGTTTATTGGCTATTTCCTCTCCCTTGACTCAACCCCGCAGGGAACCAGGCAGTGTAGCCATGGACCATGGACCCCAACAGCCCCATGCGCGCTTCACGAGGACTGAACTTGTCGGGGGGGGGGGCACTTTCCTCCTTGCTTTTAGCGAAGCCACAAGATTTCGCCGATCCTTCGGACTTTACGATTGCGGGGTTCCTAAATTTGAGAACCCAACATAGGCATTCAATGCGCTCGGGCACCAGCTTTCATCTCAAAACCACACGGAGCCCAGCCCAGGTCAAAACACATGTCTGTGTGCATGCTTGTCGCTTATTGCCAGTATGGGACCCCTTTTTGTGGTGTTACTGCTTTTGGGGTCCCGTTCTATAATCATTGAAGTGTCCGGAAAGCAAGCGACATGCCAAGCCTTGGTTGCTCATGGTTGCTCTTGACCCCTCTGCAAAACCTTTCACTTCTTGTGGCTTTCATGGAAAACCGCTTGATTTCCCGAAGCCTAAAGATCCAACCCGATAAGAATAGCAATCAAGAAGCATGAGGCCTGTCCCATTTGGTTGGCACATCTCACCTTCAAGGCGCCGGGATCTGCATGTCCCCCGGCATCTTCCAATAGTGCCAGAAGTCTGCTGGGTCCCAACGGACCTCCACATAGCGACCTTCGTAGAAGCCGGTAATGCACCTCCGGCTGAAGGCATTCCCCCAATACACATGGAAATCCGGCCCCTGAAGTGGTGGGAGTTTTGGGTTTCCTGTTGATTCCCGTGAAGTACGAATTATATAACATAAAAGAGACCGAAATTCATGAGAGACGGGCTGAACTCCCGATGTTCCGAATCTGTAACCCTTGGAGGGCCACAAGGCAAATCACCATTTGGTGTAAGGGTTGCAGTATTGATCTTGAACTGAACAAACCTGGCATATGGTGAAGCTGTTCCTGCTCGGCTGCACAAGTGCCAAGCAATGCACAAACGGAATGAACACTGACCAAACAAAGGCAGGACTGTGATGCTGCAGGGTGCCTGCTTGCACAAGGCAAAGCCAGGTATGTGGGCCAGCACACGTCATTGTCAGAGGTGCAACGCTGGCATCATGAGACGATCTGATGAATGGAAGGACGCATTCGTGGAAAGCGACTGGTGAAAAGGGACCAGTCCCGATTTCTCACCAGCCAACTCACCATGAAAATGATGCAGAGGGATTGTTCAACTCTTGAGGCCCAAACCCTCCCACTGATTGAGATGGAACCTGGCAGGAGGGTCCTGGTTTGGACCATGTTACCTTTAAACGAAGCCCCGAACGTCAGGCTCTATGTTCATTGGTGGGAGGGTAATCCGACTCACTCAAGGTGAGCCCAAGCGCAGGCCTTGCGGGATTACAGCTACCCCTCCCCATCTCTGAGCGCCTGGTCATCTGCTCCAGGACCCTGGCCCAGCTGGCGCCTGAAAAGCTGACACGAACGCCAAGGCAAGCCAGGGTGCCAGTTCCCGCCTTAGCCGCTGGGCGAAAAATGCACCCCTCTCAACCAGAGACCGCTGGCGGAAAGCCCTTTGAAGAATTAAGCCGGTAGCCCAACCAAACAAAGACACAAAAGGCGTGAAACGCATGTAGATTAGCAAATCGCTGTGACACGCACACACTGACACACACACACACACAAACAAAAGCCACGAAATACCCTGAGTCCAGTCTCAAACGCGCCTCGAAATGCTGGGAAACTGCCGGCTGCCAATATTGTAACATACGTCAAGCCTTGCTTGGGTGCCGAGTACCCGGAAGGCAAAGCAAAGCCTTTTGTTTGGCGGAAGTGTGTCCAAAGGGTGGCAAACTGGAGAAAACCGCTTGGACACCTGGCTTAAGATCCAGGCCAGACACTAATGATTGTAAAATTGCATGATCATAGGAGCTGTTTGGAGAACAATGTTAGTAATTAGTTGGGTGTTAAAAAACAAACAAAAAAACTGTCTTCGTGCTGGTAAACAGCTAAGAAAGGGTTGCCCCCCACATCGACGTACCCACTCAACCCCTCAGCTTGACAGCCTGGCTCTGGCGGGATGGGCTCGCCACTGGCGCTGCAGGCGCTGTCCTGCAAACAGGCGAGGGCCTGGTGAAACAGAGTCTTAACGTTGTCCCCTGAAACCCCGAGCTCAAGACGGGCAGCAAAGTAATTCAATTTGGTTGGCTTCTTTGGCTCCACATCGGCCTTGACACCTCAGGCCACCGGCTCAAGAAAGCTCGGAAGAATCCCCCTGGCAGGTTAAGAGCAAATCACATGGAGCTTTCAACAGCCTCTGTCTTCACTTCCGAAAGCCAAGCGCCACGTCAATTACCCCCCCCTGTCAGGGTTTGCCTGGCTGGGTGGAGTGAGGTGTACTTTGTTCCCTGGGCTCTCTCAAAGGCCGACAGCTGGATAATCCACTCAACCACTCAGCAGTGCCGCCTTGAGTACCCACCCCACATAATTCCTACATGCGCTTGTGTAGTGTAGTGGTTGGATGTGTTTCTGTCTGCTTGGCCAGTTGGCTGGATGTTTGCTTTGCCGTCGGTGTGGTTGGCAGGCTTGGATTCTTCGATTTTTTGCTTCCGGACCATGCCCCTGCGTGGGAATCAAATCGGCTTTCTGACCATTTCTCGGGAACATAATCGATCATTGCGCCAAGCCTTTCTGTTGATACAAACCCCCATTTGGCTCTCATATTAAGTAGTTTAAGCTCAAACAAACGAATAACACATTTTCTTGTTGCAACCGCTTGCTTCACCCGTGTCCTTTGTTCTTGTTCCGCGTGTTTTTGTTACAACTGGCTTTTTTCACCCCCACAGCCAGCCCAGCCGGCGGCCCCTCCTCTTCGCTGCTGAGGCCTTCCACTGGCGCTTGCTTCCAGCGGCAGTGCCTGAGCGCGGAGGACTCGGACGTGCCGGGGCTGGAAACCGATCGAGGATACGTTCAAAGCCCTGGTGTAGATGGGTCAATCAGAAGGGCTTCACAAAAGGAGTTGCTGTACCTGCCATTTCCATTCTTTCCAGGGACCCGGATCTTTCTAGAAAACCTCCTTTGAAAATTTGAAACCCAGGGAAAACGGATCCGGTTGTTGGAAAGAACAATGGTGAAAAGAACGGGGAATCAACCCTACAAGATCAACGCATGGGGAGGATGGGGGGGGTTCTCAAAACGGATGGTCCCTAAAATGGCAAGGGTCTCCTGTCAAGCCCCCCTTTCACTACCAAAAGGGGGAGTTTCCGAATTTCGTTTTGAGAGACACAAATTGTCTCATTTTCCCCCCCCCCGGACCCGAACCTGTGAGCGTGGAAGGAGAAAGGAGATGTCAAGGATTTTACAGATAACCGTCTATAACCAAGAATTCTGTGAGATAGACGGTACCACATAGAAAATCCTGACTCACTGTCACCTCACTCACTTTTCCTTCCGTGACGAGCGAAGTGAGTGGGTGTCCCTTCCTACGTCAGGCCTCACAGAGAAGAGTTAGACCAAAGGGATCTGATCACCATCTCTTGCCTATCACCTGTCTCTCGCTTCTTTCATTGACAGCCAAGATCCAGAATCCAGAGGCAATCACCTACAAACAAATTCTCTTTCTCTCACCCGCTGGCCAGTTCTTTCCAGCGGAGCAATCAACAACAAAGAAATTGAACATAAAAAGGATAATGATGGATGGGATCTCTTTCACCCATCCTCCGCTCTGCACCTCTTCCCTCCAAGCCTCTTTGTTGTAAGGCTTGGGTAAATAAAATCTGCAGATGGTCCCACTGGTTTGCCTTGTCAAAGTGACCTTCCCACCGCCGTCCGTCTGCTGCACTCCCTGGCCTGACCCACCAGCTGAAACAGCTTGCATCGGCATCAGCCTGGGCAAGCCAGGCCGGGAATAGACCGCCACTTGCTTAAGTGCCCTGCATGTTTTCCAGTCTCAGTGCGAGATTCCCTACACCGGCATGGGACATGAAATAATATAACCTCGAGCAATTGGAAGTGGATGGCTGGATGGCCAGGCCCCGTGAGGCCCACACGATCTGCGCGTAAGAGCCGGCGGCAATTGCCGAGGCCACCAAGGCACACAGTCGCACCATTGCATGGTGGGACGTGGCGCTCCGGGGCTCCTTCCATGTCCAAAAGACATGACTCAATGTCCAAAGGGCTTCCCAGCACATGGACACCGTGCGGTTGTATTTGTCGTGCTGCGTTGGTCGTGCGCTGGCCGAAGGAGGTCAAATAGAAGCAACTCTGCCTGGCTGGCTGAACAAGCAGAGCATGTAGCCAAACAATTGCTTCAATCCAAGCCTGCCAACCACACCGACGGCAAAGCAAACATCCAGCCAACTGGCCAAGCAGACAGAAACACATTCTACACAAGCGCCTGTAGGAATTATGTGGGGTGGGTACTCAAGGCGGCACTGCTGAGTGGTTGAGTGGATTATCCAGCTGTCGGCCTTTGAGAGAGCCCAGGGAACAAAGTACACCTCACTCCACCCAGCCAACCAGTCAGCCAAACAAAACAGCGCCAAGTCCATGGCCAAAAAAAACTGAGTTGCTGAATTGAACATCCACAAACACACACGTTCGGATCACGCACTCACCCTAAAAGAAGGGGGTGGGGGTGTCCCTAACCCGAATTATCTAGACCATGTGTGAAATTCGAGGGATCCCCCCTACCCCGAGTCCTTTTTCTAGGGGGTGAGGATCTTCAATCCCCTTTGCTTCGCAATGACACCAATCGCCCTTTTCCCCTCAGCAGCAGCCGCTGTTCCGCTGCCGACGGGCATGGCCGCCTGGGGTGCATGGCAGCGCCCTTGTACTGGCGCAACAGATAGGCTAGCCACCTGCTGAAAAAAACATGAATCGGCATGCTTCCTTATTTAGAGGGGATGCGGTCTGGTTGTTTCAACACATTTTTCCTACGTAAATAAATAACCACATTCCTATAACAAGGAGGCTTGCAATCGTATCGAAGAGCCACACCACAGCTGATATCTACAGGCACTGCAACCCTCCCTTCTCACCCTCAGCATGTTCAACCTATCAATCGGATTTATCTCAAAGGAGGGAACCCCGAAAACGTATTGTTGTTCAGGGGCTTCGCTTTAAACTAACCCCAGCACGGTTAGTTTAAAGAAAGCACCAGGCTCGCAAAGCACGCAAACTTGCTCACCCCAATGCGATGCCGAGCCACTGCGGGGCAGGGGCTTGTCTTCTGTAGCTGTACTGCTCCTCGTGGTGGACGACTCCTGAGTGTAGCTGTGCCAAAATTAGAGGCCCCTCCAAATGATGAGTTTCATCTTGAGATCCTTTCTTGCATGAACCAGACAAATTGATGCAGCTATAGTGGACGCACTCTCAATGCCCCCTCGCTTCTGCCAACCTGCAATCTCCGGAGCCACCCCTGCTACGCTGAAAGCAACTGCCTCTTGCAACCCAAAGATCTGCTTTTGTATGGGCTTTGCGGCTGAGCGGTCTCTGATTGCAGCAGCAAAAGCTGGAACAAGGCTGCGGGGAGCGGTCTCAGCAGCTCCAGCTCGAAAATCACAACTTTGTAGTGCGCGAGCACTTCCGCAGCTTTCCAGTACAAGTGCAGTACGTGAAGTATCTCCACATTAGAGCTTTGTTGAAGCATCAAACTAAAGTGTCTTCGGAAGTTACGCGGTGCTAGTTGACCCGCAACACTTACCCGAGCCACACGTTTCCTTACGGCAAAAGCATGCTAGACTAACCGAGCATGAAACCTTCACTTGAGAGTTCTGGGCGCTGCTGACATGTTTCGTTTGCGGGGCCATGAATTTGATGGGAAATTCAGGGCCCCCCACCCAGCAAGGGGGTTCGTAGAGGATGTTCCTGGGAGGGTTTTGATAACCCTTGTGGTGGGCAGTGGGTCCCTAATGTTTCTTCAAACATACTAACCCGGATTGATACACCGCTGGTTGATTAAAAGAGGGTGTTGGCTTTAGTGCCTTTAGTGGAAATTCGGAACACCTTTGCAGGTGACACCCCCGAAGAAAAGTGGGTCTGGTGCTTCTTGAGGATTGGTTCCCTTTTTTGGATTGGGATAAAAGGAACACCACCTATTGTTGGGTTTTCTCTCTGCCGGGGCATCCTTTCGGCTTCCGCCCAGTCGACACATGCCACCGTTGCGACTCCCATTTTGCCACACGCCCAACCCTCGCAAAAAAAAGCCGAGCCACAAAGCTCTCTTTCTGCCGCGCCGCCGCGGGCAACTCCTCGGCGCCCTGCGAGCAAACATCTGCCCGTGCGGGAGAGGAAAAAACACGCCACGAAGTGACGACGCGTTTTTACGGCAAATCCCTGGCCATGGGCAAAGGCCAAAGGATTGATTGTTCTGTTCCATTTACTTGCAGGCGTGCATGCAGCAGCAAAAGTAGCCCATGTAAAACGAGTGCCCTTTTTCAAATGAGGTATCGGAGCGCCCTATCCGAGTCCAATAAGCGCGCGCTTGTGTTAAAAGAGAAAATTGCAGTCCTATACATACACAACCAACAAGCAAATATAAACATTTTTTGAGCCCGTATCGTTTGCCATAGGCGGTGTGTGCATGTCCGCAACATCAACGAAACGCCGAATACTAAATTCAACAGGGGTAATTTTGACGGTGCTTCATATGGTTTTCTGGGTGCAGGGAAGCCAACCAACCATTCCCAAAAGACGCATGCTGATGCACAAGGCAACCACACGGAAGCCAACCAGAGCCGTGTTCCCTTCGCTCTCGGTGCCCTTGCGCCTTGGTTTCGGGTATGGCCGGGAGGCCGAAACCCTGTGCAGCAGGGCACACGGGTGACGCCTCCGATCTCGATCGACGGCACGCTGAACTTCGGTCATGGTGATGCGTATCGTCATTCAAGGGGTGGGTTCCAGGCAAATCGAATTCAAATAATGGACGGACAATCAAAACGTTCCCTCTGTCCTGTTCACAACACGAAATGGATATGGCGGCCCCATCCGTGGGCTCGTGACTCACTGCTTCGAAGCCACATCTGCCAGCGGGCTGGTAGCTGTTTGCCTCGGGCTTGCTTTTTTGGTTACGAAGCCACTTGCTCGCCATGGAGATCCGGACAATGCTGAAATGAAAAATGTCTCCAAATAGGGAACTCCCTCAAGTAGGGGGTGTCCTTCTGGCGCTTCCTCAGAACAGCCACAAAGCAACCCTCAACAAAGATACACCCAAACCTTTCCCAGCTCAAAGTAGAGAGCCCCAACGTCTAAGAACGAGCTTCATTCAGCCAACCCAGCGAAGTGGCTGCTTCTCTACTTTATTTGTTGTTTCAAAGTTCCTGAGACGTTTGACATAGTTTCCAAACATAGGCCTTTCGCGCTTGTTGGAACTCCTGAGGACGGAATCCGCACTGGCCTGAGATGGCCTGCTCAATCAACCCACGGGGCATCCATTGGTATTGAGAATCCATCAGCTTTTCATGATATTGAGAATTGTCAGATATTCAGAATGCGTTCGTTGATGCTGAGAATCCATCTATTGATTGCATCCATTCTCTCCATTCTCCAAGTCTGGAGCATCCAAGGATGGACCCTACCACTGGCTTTGCCAACCGTTGGACACCAAAACTTGCAAGACTGTTACAAGGCCTTTTGTGACAACGGGGGTGTCCATCTACTTGTTCAAATAAAATCCTTAGCTGGTTCGCAACATCGCGAACCATCCCCCCGGAGGAAGTTGGTAAACGGCCTTCCGCGAAGCCGGAGAGCAGTGAAGTACTCCATATCCATCCAGTTTCGTATGATAGTGGTTTGGGGCCTTAACATTGCCTAGCTTCTGTTGAGCTGGGAAGGGGCCCAAAACTGACTTCGGTAAATGTCATGTTTTTGGAAAACCATGAACCCAGGCTCATGGCCTTTCAATACCACCCCTCGGACGCCAACCTTGGCCATCTTCTGCCCAGGCTCAGTGCTTCGTAGAGCACCACGATGGGCGCAGTTTGCAGCACAGGCAGCTGCTTGGTAGGCAGACCTGCCTCAGAATGCGACTGACTCTGAGCGGACCAAAAAGCCTTAAACGTTGTCTCAGTTCTTCAGTGACCCTGGAGAAAAAGGGAACCATGTTTAGTGGGGCTGCCACCCCCCCCCAAAAAAGAAAAAGAAAAAAGGGAACAAGGGTGCCACTGAACAACTGAGTTGTTGGGATGGCGAGGCGAAACACATCTGGGAAGCCGATCGGTTGCTGAAAAGCGGTCATGGCGCATACCCTTTGCAACTTTCATGTTCCCCATGGGGCCCTGGTTGCCCTTCGCGCCAAGGAAAAAAGAAGTGAAGGCCCGCAAGAAGCGAAAGTGGCATGGCCAATCTTTGGGGGCCAATGAGACTTGTCAGGAGGAACCCCTTGAGCAGTGTGGGGATTTCACATTTGCATGGGCGCCTTTTCGGGTGAGTGCCTTGGACATGTATTTTTGCCGGTGAAGTAGCAAACTACGGTGCACATCTTGTATCGATAGCTCGCATGGCACCTTCAGCTCAGCTGGCATCCCAGCGTTCTTGAGGGCGACCAGACCGGCTCTGACAAATCTGCCCTTTCCAAGCCACAAAGCCTCGAAAACAAAATGAATTCGGAGGGGGCAAGCGATTGGCCGCCATCCGAACAGCACCTTCCCGCGATTGAGGCTGAGGGTCGGGGGATGCGGACTCAATGAACCCAAGTGGCAGAGTAGTTGGTCGCCGGCCCCGGCGAAAACGTGTAGTCACGACTCCCGCGGCTAGGCTCAGCCCTCTGCTGCGCCGGGCTGCAAATTTGAAGGATCCTGGGAGTGCAGCTGTGGGATTAATAGACATCGGAATTGGGATCATGCCAAGGCACCTGTCAACGTTCATGAAAATCTCTCCGGGCAAAATGCCAAAGGCATACTTGACCTACCAAGCACTTGGCCTGTGGTGCTCTTGAAGGCTTTAGGCATAGTAACAACTCACTCCGTTAAAGATCTTTTGCAACACGCAAGCTGTAACAGCTGAGCGCAGAAACCCTGGTGCTTCTTCTGAGCACAAAGCCATTGTAACAGGCAAATCAGAGCACATTTCAATGAGAGAGAGAGAGAGAAGGAGTGCTTTCTTTCGATGACGACTTTTGTTGCT